TGGCATCACAGCTCACAGCAACCTCCAACTCCTGGGCTCAAGCAATTCTGCCTCTGCCTCCCAAGTAGCTGGGACCACAGGCGCTCACTACAACGCCCAGCTATGTTTTGGCTGCAGCCGTCATTGTTGTTTGGCAGTCCTGGGCTGGACTGGAACCCTCCAGCTCAGGTGTACATGGCTGGCACTTTAGTCTCTTGAGCCACAGGCGCCGAGCCTTGGTCATTTTTTTTTAAATCTTCTTTAATCTAAAACAGCCCTCTGCTCATTTTAGTTTCCATCCCTTTGACTTTTTAAAAAGTCTAGTCCAATTGTCTTACAGAATGCTCCATGTTCTGGATTTGTCTGTTTCCTCACGATTAAATTCAGCTTAAAAACTTTAAAGCATGACGACTTCACAGGTGATACCTACTGCATCAGGAGTCTAAGACTGTACCTCTATTGGTGATGTTATTTCTAATCAAGTTTGGAGAAGATAATTACCACCAGATTGTTTCATTGTACTGTTACATTCTTGCCTTTGTAGGGTGATATTTTGAAACCATGTAAACAGCCAGTTCCACCACAACCTTTCACTCACAATCTTCTGAATCAATTCTGACAAGAAAGTGACAAATGATGATTTTCTTTTTTTTGAGACAGAGTCTCACTCTGTCACCCTGGGGTTGGCTGTCCACAGCAACCTCAAACTCTTGGGCTAAACTGATCCTCTTGTCTCAGCCTCCCAAGTAGCTGGGACTACAGACACCTGCCAGAACACCCAGCTAGTTTTTCTATTTGTAAAGACAGGGTCTCACTTTGCTCAGGCTGGTCTCAAACTCCTGAGCTCAAGCAATCCACTCACCGTGGCCTCCCAGAGTGCTGGGATTATAGGTGTGAGCCACCAAGCCTGGCCTATGATTTTCTAACTCTATTATGCATTCACTTATTGGCTGTCATTCTTCTATAACAGACTCCCTACACATTTTTTAGATTATCACTATGGAGTCCTGCAACACTAATGTTTTTAAAATAAATGCAATTAAACTAACCTATTGTCTGTGTTAAATACATATGTGTATCTTATATGAAAAATACATAAAATATACCCACATATATGTAAAAT